TGTAAAACTACAAGATGTGTGTTAAGCAGGAAATGTGCTTATATTTTAGAAGAATTGGTTCAGGGGGTTGGTACATGAATTACAGGTTGTGGTCATTGTGTCTCAGGTACCAGTTTCACTGTGTAAACAACTGAGAAAAACTGTGTCGCAGCACTGAAAGGAACTTTTTTTTCACAAGTAAGTTGCTGTTTTTTCTGGTAATTGATGTACCAACCCCTTGAACCACATGCCATCAGAGCAGGGGTATCCCTCTCTAAATTCAAGAAGCTCATGAAAACTCATGTCTTCTAAGAACACTTCCTCTCACTGTATAACACCTCCGTCCCCTAACCTCTTACAATTCTCTTGTATTGATTTGTTAACTCTTACTTCTTTCTCTATGTTTTTACCCCTTTGATATTGTACGTGCTAATAGCTCTGACTAGTATTTACTGTCACTGGAAGATCTCTTACTGCATTGATGCTTGTAAGTTGTTCCTCCAATGTAAGTTGCTTTGGATAAAAGCATCTGCCAAATGAGTAAATGTAAATATAGAATTACATTGAAACAAAAAAATGCACAGAAGGGATAGAAACAAAAAGCTTGTCCTGGTCTTATCTATATGAACTTCAGCCTTTGGCCACATATTCTCATCCACATCGCATCTATTGTCATCTCTCTTTATGCACCTGGATAGAAACACTTATAGTTTTTTTCAATTGCTAAGATGCAAAGGTCAAAACTAAAGCCACTTTTTCAAAACTCTTCACACAGTCTGCATTACCAACTTGGCCAAACAATTAATCTCACCTGCAAAAGTCACTCAAACCACCAAAACACTTCATACAAGTCTCAAAATGAACTCGTTCAACCAAAACACTGACAACAAGTCTCACTCAGAAAGCATTCATTGTCACTCATAACACACTGACCTACAAAACACTAACAACAGGAAGCATTATGTAAATTTGATTAACTTTATCTTTAAAATGTGAGAGATTTTTCATATAAAGCAGTATTTCATATAGAATACAGTTGTTCTCAGTCACTTTGGTACATTTCTCAGATCAGAATTGAAATTCTACTTGTTCAACCTCCACATCATCTAGTCACGTGTGCACATCATATATAAAAGCAATTTCTCAAATTGATCGAAATTGCAAACGGCAAATGCTTTGACAAATTTATGCAAATGATTATGTACAATTGTCTGCTGTTTCCTACATTATCAGTTGCTTACTGTTTCCGTTATGCTATCCAGTGCTGTAAAATAGTCTTGTCTTTTTCTGCATCACAATGACAAATACAAATAGTTTTGGAAATGTTGAGGATGATTGTAGAAATGTACCAAAGCGACTGAGAAAAACTGCATTCAGCAATTTACTTGTAAAAAAAAAGTTCCTGAAATTTCAGTGCTGCAGTACAGTTTTTCTCAGTTGTTCACACAGTAACACTGGTACAGGATACACAATGACCACAACCTGTAATACAAGCACCAACCACTTGAAACAATTCTGCTAAAATAAATGCACATTTCCTGCTTTACACTCAGCTTGCAGTTTTACAGTAAAACCAATTTCATAAAACTACAAACATTTCTCCATGCACATAGACGTAAACATAAAATGTGCGTAAATGTTCTGCTAAGATTTTCTATATTTTTCTGTCTGGTTGCTGCAAAAATGCAGGATATTTGCAAATCATTCTGTTTTGAATGTGATTTTAACAGTTTTGGACAAAGTGTGTTAGCATTAGCACATATTTAGAGTTTTGCAGGTGGTGAAGTATGAGAAAATGGTTCATGGATTTTGGAGAAAGTAGTCACTGAATGCATTTTGTGTGAAAGCAATGAAAAATTATTCACAATTTGGTCCACATACACTTCTGTTTCGCTGACTGTGTGAAGAGTTTTGACAGTGTGACTTCAGTTCCCCTTCGAGGGAACTCGAACTGCGTCGGTGACAACACTATGGGAACGCCTCTGGGCGTGGCAGGGCTGAATCATGAATGAAACTACTCCAATTCTATTGGTGTTGCTAAAACGGTAGCATGTGACGGCGTAACTGGAGGTGTATATAAGCACGCCGGCACACAGGACACATTAGCTTTTTTCTATTCAGCAGGCACTCTGAGCATGTTTGAAAGCTCCACTATTGGAGGATCGTTTTACCTGGAAGTTTCCGACGAAGTGCGTGTTTCCTGCCTAGGGATGTCGCACGCCCAGGCAGCTCTCGAGGGGGCTGCCTGCGGCCATTGCGAGGCCCTGTCCACGACTGACTACTTCCCCTCTGCTGGATTACAGCAATGTTGCAGACATTAAGCAGCAAGGCTACGGAGCGATGCCTCGGGTTGAGGAGGCGTTAGCGAGCTACCTTTCTCCCACCCTCATGTCATCCCTCAAGACGCCGGCGCTGCCCACCAAGCCATGTTGTGCGACATCCGACCTGGTGGGCATGGCTTACATGGCGGCGGGTCGAGCTGGTGCAAGCCTGCACACTATGGCCATCCTGCAGGCGTACCAGGCCGATCTGCTCAAAGACTGTGACCAAGGGGGAGGCCCCTCTGAGGAGGACTTCACCGAGCTCCGTAGAGCTACGGATTTGTGCTTCATGTCACCAAGGAGACGGCCCGTTCCATTGGCCGCTCCATGGCAGCATTGGTGGCTACAGAGCGCCATTTGTGGCTCAACCTCTCGGGCATCCAACAAAAGGAAAAGGCTTTCCTCCTCGATGCGCCCCTCACGACTACTGGCCTGTTTGGTGAGGCAGTAGACACTGTCGTCAGCAGGTTCCAGCACGTCAAAATGCAGGGAGAGGCGTTTGAGCAGTATCTCCCAACGGACTACGTTCCTAGGGGTGGTGTGGGACTCAAAGACGATGCGGGCCCACCTGTCTCCGGCACGCGTCGAGTCCATTTTGTCCACAGTGACCAGAGTGCAACTGGGCCGCACCATCACTGCGAAACACTTTCAGAGAGTGTTGGGTCTCATGGCAGCAGCGTCCAGTATAATACCTTCTGGCCTGCTGCACATGAGAGCCCTGCAGTGGTGGTAGAAATCCAAGGGATTCTCCCCGAGGGGAAATCCGCTCCGTCTGATATGGGTTATGAGCAGGTGCCTTCGTTCCCTGTCAGTATGGAGGAAACCTTGGTTCCTGTCCCAGGGTCCCGTGTTGAGAGCGTCATGTCGCCGGACAATTATTTCAACAGATGCCTCACTCACGGGGTGGGGTGCGGTCATGGACGGCCGCGAGAGGCTCCTGGCAGGAGCATCATTTCTCTTGGCACATAAATTGCCTGGAAATGTTGGCGGTTTTCAGAGTTACAGAGTAGTTTTTGTATTGGATAATCTTGTACGTAAAGAGAAACTTTTAGATTTTAGCACTTTTAGCATTTTAGAAATTGGTTAAATGACTGTATATTCTGTGTAAACAACATGAATTGTGGTAATTGTAAGGTATGAACAGGCTGATGTGGGGCTAACTGTGTTTAGAGTTTTGAAAATGTGACTACAGATCGGACAAAATGATGAAATCCCTTGGTTAAGGATAGGAAAACTGGGGTATTTGTTAAATACTGAAAAAGTCAACACTGGCAGTGAGCTTGTCCAGTCTGATCAGTCTGAGGCAATTTACCTGGAAATTCTCCATTGCTGCGGTTTGCTAGTCAGGGTCATAGTGAAAAGACATTTGAAAAAAAAAAACACCATGGAGCTTTAAATCAAACTGCTCTCTTATTATTTCTATTCTGTCTGGTTATACAGCAGGCTGACTGGGTTTAACTTCTGCCTACTGCAACTGGTCCAGATTAACCCTCTACGGTGCCCAGGCCAAAAATGATCTGTGGGCCAGTAGTGAAATTTGTTGCCTGCTTCGACCAGTTGTCCATTAGATGGTTCTGAAATTCCTTGAGTTCCAAATAATCCCACAATCATCAACTATTCTTTCATACATGTTTTAAAGTGATGATGTAATAATGACATTCACCAATGTAAGTTATTACTTTCAGCCTATTCTAACATTACATTATTGCTTATTATCATTATTACCTCATCATCACTTAAAAACATGTAATAACACTTGATTACATCTTACAGTTTGACATGTTTCTAACACATCGACATCTTCAGAGGATACATGTTGGCACAAAGCATTTCCTGCACTCAGAAACCAATAATACTCCCATCTCCCCAGTAGCTTCTTCTGTCCGTTCATTTCATTTTGTTAATGATTTTCTTTAGAATTGATTTATCATAATGTAAGCTAAATTACAGATGCATGTTTAGACGTTTTGATGCCAATTTATTCTGCACCTGTCAAACATTCATAATTTTAGTGTGCTGCCAAGGAATGATTTACTGTACTGCAGTAAATCCAGCCGGAACCCTCTGATAGCCATTTAAATTAAAGTCCATAAAAATTGCCAAATAACTAACAATGATTCCTTCATGTTGATTTCAACAACATGTAGGATAACTATTTATTATCATATCGACATTACACCACTTATTAAGTAACAATTAGTAGTTTGTGTCACATTATCAAAGGATTTATTATAACTAAACAGTTAAAATTAAAAGTTTTTCCTGAATCATGCAGAAGTTTTTCCTGAATCATGCAGAAGGACATTTCCAGAGTATATCAACATTTGATTTTAGTGGCTCCTAACAGAGACAAAACTGTCAAATCAAACTGTCTCCATTTGTTTAATCCCTTTGGCTCCCTACTGGAGATTTATTCACTGCTGTCAATCATTTTCCTCAGTTATTATGTAACCAAATAATGCAAACTCACATTACAGATCCATGTTTGGGTGTTTTGTTCATTAGTAAGTTACACGATGCTAATTGTTGCTGTATGTTTGAATCAGTCATGCTGTCAGCTTGCATGATGTGTCCTCAATTCCAGCCAGCATGCTCTTATGCCATGCTGTCTCTGTGCGAGTTTGCGCGCCCGTGTCCTTTTCTCCCTCTAGCCTACATCACTGTAACCCCCCACCCCTCCTGCTCTTCTCTTCTTCACACATGCACACACCAGTCCCACCTCCCTGTACCCAAACTACAGTGAAGCCCATTCAACCGATTCTCCGCAGTGCTGAAAGAGCAGAGAGAAGTAAAGAAGGAGGAGGAGTGAAAGAGGAGGAGAAAAGAGAGGAGAAGAGGGGAGATACGGGGAAACACGAAAAACATAGGCTATAGAGTGTTTGTGGCGAGAGCAGGAGAGAGGGGAAGAGAGAGAGTGTGAGAGAGATAAGGGGGAAACTGCAAATTTGGTGGCCAGGCTTCTCAGTGCGCACAGATCTCTCGTCGGCTGCACTGTCCGACCATCTCTCCGCTCTGCAGGGTGAGTAAAGCTTCTCCTGCCTTATATTTAACTGCGCCTCACCAAAACCTCCATTCCACCCATGTATCCCCCAACATTTCACCTCACTCTAACCGACCCCCACTCACATCTGTTTTACACATCTTTGGGCTTGTTGAGGCGTGCTCTGCTTCTTTGGCTGCGCACGTCAGGACTTCTCTTTCGGCTACAGGGATGAGAAATCAAGCTCATGCATGTGACTGAGTGTTGACATCAACATTTAGCTTCCCTCGTCCCCCTTCAAAAAAGCCAGGGATGTTGTATAAGAGAGGAGGCTCAAATCTCTCAGCTCACCTCGGGTTGAGGAGAGAGGAAATGTGCGCTGTTTTGTTGACAGATGCATGTCTGCACGGCTGTTCCCTGGCCTGTTCGCGGAAGAATGTACTGTACAGTGATTAGTGTGGCGCATTTGGAAGGAGCGCGCTGTTACACTGTGCGGTCAATATCTGGAGTCTGGAGAACAGCACAGTAAAGCCGCTTCGCTCACGGCAGCGCGTGGTGGAGAGAAGAGAAAGGGAGGGAAGGGGGGCGAGGTTGGGGCAAATTGTGTGTGGATGGTGTGATTGTGTCACTACAGTACATGTGTGTGTGTATCAGAGAGAGAAAGAGGAGATAATAGGGAGGAGAGACCAGGAGTGAAGCAAACGTGTGTGTGTTTGTGTGTGTGCATGTGCTCTAAAAACTCTTGGCCGCTTCTTGGGGAACCCATCCTGTGATGCTGTTCCAGCAGACTGCAGCACTTCTTATTGGGTCCATCTCTCACTCCCTCTCTCTCTACTTACATACATATAGGCTACATAATATGTGTGTTGTAGAAAAGAAAAAGGGTGACAAAGAGTGAGAGGGAGTGAGAGAAGAATGGCGGTTCCTTCTTTTTAATTTCCAGCTAATTCCAGTCTGTATTCCGGTAATTAAGGTGAACCACTGTATACAAGCATGTGAAACACTGCAGAGATGTTCCTCCTGAAAGGAAGAAAACAGTGCTGGATATGAAATGCAATATATCTATATAATAGCCTATATCACAGTTTCACAATTTATTAGTTTAAAGTAGACCTTATAATGACAATTTTGGAAAAATGTGTGCTCTCACAAATCTATAGGCCTATTACAAGTGGAGTGACTTAAAGGGACTATATGTAAGTTTTTCAATGAATTTAATTAAATTTTCATTGTCTTATTGTCAATGGGCTCAAAACTCACTTAGAAATGAAGCACACGCCAGTTTTCTCCCCTGCTTGCATCAGCCGCTATTCTGCTTTGTGTGAGGTCTCCGGGTCGGATTCAGCCCTGTGCGCGCTGCCGAGCCTCTCTTGTACTACAGCGGCAATACGGCAGCTAATGACATGCAGTCGACTAATACGATCAAACAACCGGCTCACAGCAAAACACAGGCTCCACGTAAGGATACAAAACAACAATAAAGGTTTATGTGCTGAAGCCCATCAGACCAAACAGGTTCAGATGATGTTGAGTAAGAACAAAGTGAGCATTAGTAAAGCTGGAGACGCACAGAGAAAGTAACGTTAGCTCGCAGGCTAACGTCTCGCAGTTGCTAATGTTTTCCGGTGCAAAGTTATATATATATTAGCTTTCCATATTACTTAACCAACTAACGCAACCTGTGTTACTATCCTGTGTGCTACTGTTAATTTAGCCTGCAAGAAAGGATGTAACGCTCAGTCGCTGTAACTAACGCGACCCACATAACATAAAACACTGCAACAAAACAGCCACAACTACCCAAAGGAAGAGCCATCCGATATCACTAGTTACAGTAAAGTTACTTACTGCGGTCTAACTGTTATAAAGTGTGACACAATCGGATTATAATATTCAGTCCAGCTCACTAACCGTTTCATTATCATCCAATACATGTAGCTGTGCTGACAGTGTTTCGGATTATGCTCGCTCATGAGTTCAAGCGAGCACGCGTACGAGCACACACCTGGTTGCAATCTTAGAACCACACCTGCTAGTGGCCGCTGAAAACTACATAATGCCCCTTTAACCTTTAGCTAGTATTTGAAAGTGTTTGCATTAGCTGTTCTAATGCTGCATTCGTGTAATATGGAATGGGCAGTGACAGAAAATATTACTCATGGCTATAACTTGCAAGTGACATTCAAGATGGATATTGTTAGTTACCAGTAATCAGTGTTTTACAAACTGAATTAAAAATTACATTCTGTGGTTCTATGATGAGCAGAGTTGGTCGTGAGGGAGTGTAAAATAGCTTGCATTAAATAGGGTGCCTCGATTGGTGGACTTGAGATGATTGAGAAATCCATGTTTTCCTTGTAGACATTAAAAACTCCATATTTGAAAATGGCTAAGAGATAGACCTTGCTTGAGTGGCCTTGGATGAGAGGGACGCGTATTTTACTTCCTGTCATGTGTTTTATGTTTCTGAAAGCAGCAACATCAGTTTGTTTGGAATAAGATAAAGGACAGGATAGTTAGCAGGAACAGTAGCAACTAACTCAGGCTGCCCAACGCATTAAATAAGGCTGATTGGTCATTGGTGGTACACTTCAAACTATGACGGTGTAGGTCTCTCATTTCTGGACTTCCCTGTCTAGTGTAATGTGCAGTCTAGTGATGTGCAGTCAACGTCAAGTGACGGTGTGAAAAGAGCAAAAATAAAAATCAGTGTAGGGAGGAGGTCAGTGTGCTTGGATGGTTCAAACACAGGGTTTTCACCCAGGCGACCGCTGTTTGTTTCCTGTGTGAAACCAATAGTTCATGTTGACTTCTTTTAAACTTATGTAACTTACAAACATAGACTGTATAAAATAAGTGGACGTAGTCATCGTGACATCACCCATTGGTTTCTGGACTGCCGTTATGAAGCCTCAAATTTGGTCGTTAGGCCGTCGCCATGTTAAATTTTTGCAACCAGCGGCACCGGATATGACGATATTTGGAAAAGGCGGTTGCGGTAGTTCACTTGGTTAGCTAGGTGCATCCGTAATTCTCCAGGATGCTAATTTTAGCTTGCTTAGGAAAAATTAACAGACGACTTTTCAATCACAAGCTAGTCCCGCCCTAAAGCATAAGCTGGAGCTTTTTGTAACCAGAGGAGTCGCCCCCTGCTGGCTGCTCGGTAGAATGCAGGTTTAAATTGCTTTCGGGTGGCCTCACTTTTCAGCCCTGATTGTTTCCGCTTGGTTACAAATTTATCGTACTTAGTGTTGGTGCCTAAACCTGGCCAAACTGCGACCGTTTCATAATGTTAACCGCATGTTTATTGTTACAATGACAACAAAAGTCAACCGACTATGATGAAATGTTTCTCAGCTAGCTTTATTTTGAAAGTCTATCCCAACGTTGCATATTTATTGTTTCTAACTTGACTACGGAGTCCTGCAAGTGCAAAGCTGGCACTGGAGAGGGACCTACAACGTCATAGTTTGAAACGTAGGGCCACTAATCAAGCTGCATTTGATGATTTGGGATGGAAAATGTGTTGACCAACCATAGATGAACATGTCACAGTCCTGTTCACATTTTGAGAGGTGATCTCTTGAAAATGATTTGCACTATGACTACTTGCATTTTATTATAAAGATGGAGACAAAACCCCCACTTACCCTTAACAATATAACATTTCAAAAAGAAAATGTTTCAGCCATCAAAGACCTGAAAACATCAGGAATTGGTGTCACTCCCCCCAATCAAAGGCCAAGGGGTCATTAATACTGGAGTCGTTTCGCAACAATCTTCCAACAATCCAACAAGAAGAAATCCATCTGAGAAGTGGAAAGAGAGATGAGTTCTGAAATGAATTTAAAGAAAAACTCTTTCCATCCTGTTCTTCATGATAAGGACTGTGACTTTCTATTGCACGATTTAGGAAATATAGTAAACCATAAACTGAGATAGAATTAGACAAGATAGGTTGAGGGACAGTAAATTTAGCTTTAAGACCTATGCTTACAATGTAACATAATGTGTTTTGAATTAAATAATTTGTTCCTCTTAATAATACGAGTGGGGCATTTGTGAATTAATGTAAGCTCAATCAAATTTAAGCTATACAGTGGGTTAAGCTGTACCTTAACATAATCTATAGGTTTATCAGGTGTAATATACCTGACCTATATTAGAACTGTGTAGTTCCCTGCAGTGATGTTTACAGATCTGTACACTGGTTGTACAAGAAGTGAAGTATCATCATCGTCAGTTGGCATGCAGCTTTCTGAGGTGAAGGGAAATGAATCACACACTAACTTCAGTTGTTTAAATGGCTGATTGATGGTGTGACTCACCAACAATGGCAGGGTCAGTGCTTCATTTCCCACCAGGGTACTCAACGTACTGTAAAGTCTTTGAGATACATTCATCCACTGGTGAGATAACAACACATCTATGCTGTCGTGTTAATACTTTGTGACTTTGTGATACATGTTTTATTGCCACTTCAGTAACAGGGCGATTTGGTTGTGACAAATTATCGACTCTAGAGCTGATAAAACCTAATCCAAGAATTTAAGGAGTTTAAATTTGGCCTATAACCACATTTTAACCAACATTAAACCATTTTTATTCTTGATCTTGTCAAGGTCAAGGGGGTCTAGAGAGCCTCATCAAGAAAAAATCTTTACAAATCATTCACAAGTCTGGCTCTGGCTTGTTTGAGCCCGGACTTTAATAATACAAACTTTCACCATAATCCTGAACTGCTACTGAAAAATCAGTTAAATCTAGACTCCATATTTCTGTACGCTAATTACTGAGAGCAGTCATCAACAGTATCGATAACAGGCTTTAATGTTAATAATGGCATTAGGTAAAGAATGCCTCTAAATTTAAATTATACCATTGTCAAATGGTACTTTCAAAGCAGGAAGAAATGAATAGACCCAAGTTAAGAATTTTGTGGCACAGTGCAGCTAAGAATAAAACAGAAAGCTACACAAGGACAAACAAATGGATTATATGAGAATATGTAGTGGCAATAAAATTTCACAATGACAACC